TTATAAAAAAGAAGTCAGGAAAATGGAGACTTTTACAAGATCTCAGAAAAGTAAATGAAACCATGGAATTAATGGGAACCTTACAACCTGGATTGCCTACCCCTTCTGCTATACCTAAAGATACTTTTAAAATTATACTAGATTTAAAAGATTGTTTTCATACTATTCCTCTTGCTCCTCAAGATTGTAAAAGATTTGCTTTTAGAGTGCCATCAGTAAATTTTAAAAAAACTTATGAAGAGGTATCATTGGCTTGTATTACCTCAAGGTATGGCAAACAGTCGACTTTATGTCAAAAATTTGTGGTTCAAGCTTTTTTTAAAACTAGAGAGGCATATTCTTCTGTGTATAATATTCATTATATGGATGACATTTTACTGGCTCATAAAAATGAAGGGATTTTATTAAGTGTTTTTACAAACTTACAACAAGCCTTAAAGAATCTAGGTTTAGTAATTGTACCAGAAAAGGTGCAGACAGAGCCACCCTATTTGTATTTGGGACATAAATTATATCCTCAGACCATTATGCCTCAAAAAATTCAATTAAGGAAAGACAACCTAAAAATTTTAAATGATTTTCAAAAGTTGTTAGGTGATATTAATTGGCTAAGACCCCATTTAATATTAACTACAGGAGAACTAAAACCACTTTTTAACATTTTAAAAGGAGAAGCTGATCCTTTGTCAAAAAGGGAACTTACCAAAAAAGCTCGTGATGCTTTACAAAAAAATAGAATTAGCTATTAAAAAGCAACATGTTCAATATATTGATTATTCAAAAGAATGGGGTGCATATATTTTGGCTACTGTTCATACTCCAACTGCTGTATTGTGGCAAGAAGGTCTATTATTATGTTTGCACTTGCCTGTGTCTCCTGTTCGAATTCTGATACCATATTATGAAGCAGTGGCTAGTTTAGTTCAAATGGCTCGCACAGAATCTCACAAGTATTTTGGTAGCGAGCACTCCTTAATTGGAGTTCCTTTTACCAAACAGCAAGTAGATTGGTTATTTCAAAATACAGATTGTTGGGCCATAGCTTTTGCTCATTATTTAGGACATACTGACAATCATTATCCAAAAGATAAATTACTTCAATTTGCCAATGAGCATTCTCTTGTATTTCCTAAAATAATTAAACAAAAGCCATTACGTGAAGTTCCAACAGTATTCACTGATGGATCTTCAAATGAAAAAGCTGTGTATGTACTACAGGGACAAGCTTTTGTTTTGCAAACATTGCCAGCCTCAGCTCAAGTTGTAGAATTACGAGCTGTTGCTGCAGTCTTTAAAAATTTGGCTTCTACCACTTTCAACTTGTACACTGATAGCCATTATATAGCTAAAGCCTTACAAGTCCTAGAGACTATAACATGTGTTAATACAGCTAATAAACAAATACAAGATCTATTTAGATTCAACAAAGTATTTGGAGCCGTGTACAGCCTTGTTATGTAGGACATATTAGAGCTCATTCAGGGCTTCCTGGACCTTTAACTTTAAAAAATAATTTAGCAGATCTAGCCACACGTTTGGTTGGATTAACTCAACAAGAATTGGCTCAAAATTCTCATGCAATACATCATCAAAATAGCAAGAGCTTAAGAAAACAATTTAATATTACCAAAAATGCTGCTAGACAAATTGTAAGATCATATTCCTCTTGTCCTAAACATTTTAATGTACCTCATTATGGTGTCAATCCTAGAGGCTTGACTCCCAATCATTTGTGGCAAATGGACGTAACTCATGTCCCAAAATTTGGAAAACTAAAATATGTTGACACTTTTTCAGGATTTATCATGGCAACTCCCTTAACAGGAAAAGCCACCAAACATGTTATGAGTCATTGCTTAAAGTGTTTTGCTGCAATTGGTATTCCTTCCATTAATATAAATCATAAAACGAGCATTCCATATAATCCTCAAGGCCAAAAAAATTATGAAACAAGCCCATGGATCTCTTAAGAACCAATTAAAAAAATAAAAAGGGGAGTCATATCCCCAAATATTAATCATGCTCTCTTTATTTTAAATTTTTTGAATGTGGATATACAAGGCCGTTCTGCGGCTAATCGATTGTGGCATCCTAATACCAAAGATAATTATGCCCAAGTAAAATGGAAAGATCCAATTACTGAAATATGGCAGGGCCCCGACCCTGTATTAATATGGGGAAGAGGGCATATTTGTGTTTTTCCACAGGATGCAGAGGGAGCTAGGTGGATATCAGAGAGGCTGGTGTGGTTTGCAGGAGTTGTTCCCCAGAAGGAGAATGTTCCTGCTGCAGACAATCGTAAATTCTGCCCTGACTGAGATCAAAAAGCTGCATTGGACTTAAGCTCCTGATCTGCTTTTGTTTCATTCTGCTCCTGAGAAAAGACATCATGAAGAGAAACCTCTTATACAATGGACTGGACTTGATTGTTCTGTTAATAAGGACAATTCTCAACAAAATCAGGAAGAATAAAAAAGAGGACTAACTATGAAACTTTGGTCTGACTCTGGTTTTCAGCAGACCAAAACAAGCTTGCTTCAAAAAACTGTTGGGAGGCCCTGTAACTGCCTATGTAAATTCTCCTTTTGTTTTGTTGTTTAGAAATATTAACAAGATTCAAACTTTAATGTTTCTTGACTTCAATGTAAGCTAACAAACTTTATTTGTAAACTTTCAAATGGTTCTGTTTGCTCGACAGCCTTTTACTATGGTTCCTGTAAATGTTTCTCAGACTTGGTAATTTACACGAGGAGTCACCTGCTAAGTCACTTTTATGGAGTGTTATTTTGGACTTGGCTTGTGAAAGGAGATGCGCTCCTATTGGTGACAACAAAACCTGCCTGAAGGCCTTTTAGTATGTCAAAGCTGAGCTGATCTGCATAAGATCATACCACAGTGTCTGCCCTAGCAGAAGTTGGTAGTCAATGACGAGTAAGATTTCTCTGGGATATATTATGGGACATGGATGATAAAATTCACGTACAAATAAAGATATATCTTTTGACACAAACAACCTAAGACAGGCACAATCTTTTGCTCCATAACTCTTAAGTTATGGCCAATTTTAAAAACATAAAAAAGGGGGACCTGTCGGGAGCTGTGCCTCTGGCAGCTGCTTTGATATTTAAATCTCAGCGGAGAGTCTGCTTTTACCAGGCCTTCACTAAGTCAGGGAAGAATCTGCAAGTCCATCTCCTTCTGTTTGTGACAGCAGGTGGGATAGCTTGTGAAGTTCACACCTCTTCCTCAGGCTCCTCGTGGAAATTAACCCATTATTCTGAGATGTTTCTACTCTGGCTTAAAAGCTCTACAATAATAAAAGGCCGGCAGTTGCTGCTAGGTTGCTGCTAGGGCGCTGCTAGGGCTGTTGCTGCTAGAGGCTTGCTGCTTACTGCTAAGGCTGCTTGCTGCTGGGGCTGTAGAGTCCAGATCTTCTTTAAAAAGCCTCCTGTGTGCTGTGTTTTTTTTTTTTTTTTTATTAATTTTAATCCTCACTCCCGACTCAAGAACCGTTTGACTCTGCTGGCTGGCTCCAGCATGAAGGTAAAACTGAGTTCAGTCCCTGAAACCTACATGGTGCAAAGAAAGATCAACTCCTGAAAGTTGTTATCTGGCCTCTGTGAAAGTATTTTCTGAATGGATTAACCTATAGGAAGCAGAACCTTGTTGAGGTGTGAGAACTAGAGGTCTGAAGGAAAAGTAGGGCTTCTTTTCAAAGACTGCATTTGCTGTCATCCTTTATAGATATCAGAATCCATCTTTTTCAGCCTTTAACATGGACTGAAGATCAACTCTTCAGGAGTCTTTCAAGCCTCCAGTGCAAAATTGGAACTGCTAAGGCTCTCAGACTCATGGGCTGAGGAGCTATCACCTTTTTAGCACATACTGTGCAAGCCAATCTGATCTATCCCCTTTATACTGTATAGTCATTCTGTCAGTCGTGCTCTTTTAGAGAACTCTGACTAAAATTTCCTGTTCTGCATCCCACTACAAATAATAATACAGAAATGAAGCCCTCCATGCTATAGCATCACCATACTTCATAGTGGCTTATGTAATTGGACCACAAGTGTCACAAATGCAGTAACAGTCCTAAGAAGTGGCCCTTCCTGCTGGCCAGCACTGGTGGCCATATTCCCCATTGAGGTCTATATAAAGTATAACATTCCTCTCAGGAGGCAAGCTATATTCTTTCCTGAGCCAAGTTACTTCCATACTACAAGATCAAGATGAGAAGAGTTCTTTCATGTTTTAAAACATGACTTACAACTCCACTTGGCCCACAAGATGTATATCAAGAAGGAAAATGCAGGATTTCGACAACACTCATCATCCAAGTCGCTGGGGTGAAATGGAAATGTGATCTATTTGATGATATATCAGAGGCTCAAAGAGCCTCCTTCAGCTCAGTAAGGAACAGTCCAAGTGGACAAGGAAGCAGAGAACTGTTTGGGATTGGATATGAGTCAGAGCATAACAGACCTCAATGAACCATAGGGAAAACCGTTTTACTTTGTATGTGAAATAGCTTAGCTCCAGGAAGATGGTGTGTGGCTTCAGGTAACATTTGACTACATGCTGATCCTAGAATCTACCCAAGACCTCCAAGGATGAGTGAGTACCAAAGCAAGAAGGGAAGATTTAAAAGGAAAGAGAGAGAGAGGAAGAGAGAGGAAGGAAGGAAGGAAGGAAGGAAGGAAGGAAGGAAGGAAGGAAGG